ATATCGCATTGGTAGCTGACTTTACTTCCTACAAGTGATATCGCATTGGTAGTTGTAGCAGACTTTACTGCCAACCAGTGATATCGCATTGGTAGCAGACTTTACTTCCTACCAGTGATATCGCATTGGTAGCTGACTTTACTTCCTACAAGTGATATTGCATTGGTAGTGGTAGCAGACTTTACTGCCAACCAGTGATATCGCATTGGTAGCCATCTACTGCCAACCAGTGATATCGCATTGATAGCCGACTTTACAGCCAACCAGTGATATTGCATTGGTAGCCGACTTTACTGCCAACCAGTGATATCGCATTGGTAGCCGACTTTACTGCCAACCAGTGATATCGCATTGGTAGCTGACTTCACAGCCTACAAGTGATATCGCATTGGTAGCCGACTACTGCCAACCAGTGATATCGCATTGGTAGCCGACTTTATTGCCAACCAGTGATATCGCATTGGTAGCTGACTTTACTTCCTACAAGTGATATTGCATTGGTAGCTGACTTTACTTCCTACAAGTGATATCGCATTGGTAGCTGACTTTACTTCCTACAAGTGATATTGCATTGGTAGTGGTAGCAGACTTTACTGCCAACCAGTGATATCGCATTGGTAGCAGACTTTACTTCCTACCAGTGATATCGCATTGGTAGCTGACTTTACTTCCTACAAGTGATATTGCATTGGTAGTGGTAGCAGACTTTACTGCCAACCAGTGATATCGCATTGGTAGCCATCTACTGCCAACCAGTGATATTGCATTGGTAGCCGACTTTACTGCCAACCAGTGATATCGCATTGGTAGCCGACTTTACTGCCAACCAGTGATATCGCATTGGTAGCCGACTTGACAGCCTACAAGTGATATCGCATTGGTAGCCGACTTTACTGCCAACCAGTGATATCGCATTGGTAGCCGACTTAACTGCCAACCAGTGATATCGCATTGGTAGCCGACTTTACAGCCAACCAGTGATATTGCATTGGTAGCCGACTTTACTGCCAACCAGTGATATCGCATTGGTAGTCGACTTCACAGCCTACAAGTGATATCGCATTGGTAGCCGACTTTACTGCCAACCAGTGATATCGCATTGGTAGTCGACTTCACAGCCTACAATTGATATCGCATTGGTAGCCGACTTTACTGCCAACCAGTGATATTGCATTGGTAGCCAGACTTTACTGCCAACCAGTGATATCGCATTGGTAGCCGACTTCACAGCCTACAAGTGATATCGCATTGGTAGCCGACTTTACTGCCAACCAGTGATATCGCATTGGTAGCCAACTTTACAGCCAACCAGTGATATCGCATTGGTAGCCAACTTTACAGCCTACAAGTGATATCACATTATATCGCAGCAGATAGTCTGATTACATCATTTGTATTGAAATGAACAAAATACTAAAATTTTGAGAATATTGCAGATGGTAAAGATTTATGTCTAGAATTCTCAGTGTCAGATTTCAAATGTTTCAGGTTTACTCATAGATAATAGTCTATGATTTACTCAACAGCCAAAAAGAGAAACATTGGATCTTGCAATATCATTTTTGCTTTTTCATGATATAGTCAGTATCCATCATTCAGATGGATTTAACTTGTACATACATGAGATGTATCCATTTTGACATTTTTGTTTATTTTTTAAATTATTAAATTAAGAATGAGGAAAATGTTTTTAGTGATTTGGCACAATAACCATTCAACTTTTCTTTAATGAAAATGTGCTATTTGTGACACAAATATTTATTATGACTTCAAGAGAAATTTTTTTAATTTGTTTCAATTCACATTTTCCAACAAAACAAGATACCAAATATTTATAAAAGCCCAATCTTTAATTTGGGTTTCGTCCATGAGCCCGTCCAGAGTCATTTAATGTTTAACCATCATCAGTGTATTTGTCAACCTGTGGTACACGGTGTCATACATGTACATATCGATACTTGTATATGGCTGACTAGCAGCCATTTTGAACATAACATTTGTTTACAATCAATCATGGATGCACATTGTTTATTTTTCTAGTTTAGATTCAATTTTTTTCACTTTGTCAGTTAAAAACTTCACTGGATCAACTTTACCGTCTCAAACCTTTACTTTTTAGCTACTACATATGATTTGAAATGTAAAAGACACTTAAATTTACAATGACTTGTTAATGTATGGAATTGTCAGTAGGTCAATATATTATTATTGCGCAATGTAGGGATAGGGTATTATGTCAAGTTTAATGTCTTTTAATAAATAATTAAAAATTATTGAATTTTTGTCTTTGAACATATCCAACACTTACCATGACTTATCACTACAATGCACAAAACTGTATTCAGTCTAGGGAGTCAAATAGATTGCTACACATGTTTCTACAACCTAGGGAGTCTAAAGGACATGCCACAATCCAGGAGTAGTCTTTTGAAAAGCAATAAAAAAAAATCATATAGTCCACCATGAAAGTAGTCTACCCGGAAAATGTATTAACTTGAATGTTTAACTGAATTTGCAGCAGTACATATACTAAGGTAATAACGTTTGTATGATTATACATTTTATTTTTATTCTGGTACATGTGTGAAACCATATAATCCTACATAATGAAGAATAGTTGTACAAAAAATGAGAGTAATTTATTCACTGGAAGTTGATTAGTGATAAGATTTGATTTTGCTAACTTCTATATATAATGAACATCTTCAATTGGACTCTTATAAGTATTCAAGCAGTATAGGGAGTCTAAAATGACAACAGTTTGACTGTCAACTTGAGGGATCTTAACTGATGTGCAACTAGTTTCTTTATGTAATACAAACAAGATCAGATTCACAAAGGTAATTGTCATTGCCCCATGAGTTCAATCCTCAAGTATGGTTAACGTTGTAAAACAATTTGTGAATTCATCGATGTAGGTGCAGTAACTATTGCAAACTATGCTATTCCTTGATGGTGCAAGAAGTATTTGAAAGCGGAATTGATCTCTGATTACAAATGCATCATTACATCACTTGGGACTATCAATTATATATATTGCGAAGACAGATTACACTTCATATCTCCAGACATTTCTCCTCTTCAAAAAACTATTAATTTTATTGTGATAGACAGCCAGTGAAATGAGACACTTGTGGCAAACTTTCTTCATCATTTCTGTTGCCCCAAGCAACCAAGTGGGAATTGAAGCAATAGTGAAACCATATTGATGAAGACAGTGAAGCATTCCTGGCATTTCCTTGAAATGTAATCTAGATAAAGTGAGATAGGTTAATTTTACCATAAGTATGGTAGAATATAAACCCCATGATCAAACAAATTCAAGTATGCATCATGGGTGTTGAAATAATGGGAATTGAAATAAAATTGGAAAAAAGATTGGATTGGAGTGTGACTTGACTTTTAGTTAATAGCTTTCAGCTTGTTTTCAATGACACCATACATCTAAATTGTGTCAACTACATGTAATTGTGCTTAATATAATTACAGTTTATTGCATGATCTCATGTCACATGATCTCTCGTCACATGATCTTGATATTTTGACGAGTCACACAATTATTTTGCTGACATTTTGTTATAGAGTTGATTTTTGATGGAATTTTATTCAAGTGAGTTCTGTGAGTTTACTATATGATGGAATTGTATTCAAGTGAGTTCTGTGAGTTTACTATATGATGGAATTTTATTCAAGTGAGTTCTGTGAGTTTACTATATGATGGAATTGTATTCAAGTGAGTTCTGTGAGTTTACTATATGATGGAATTTTATTCAAGTGAATTCTGTGAGTTTACCATATGATGGAATTGTATTCAAGTGAGTTCTGTGAGTTTACTATATGATGGAATTGTATTCAAGTGAGTTCTGTGAGTTTACTATATGATGGAATTTTATTCAAGTGAGTTCTGTGAGTTTACTATATGAA